ATCTAGGCATTTTGCATGTATCATCTAGTTTGATCTGCCCAGCAACCTTTGTAGTAGGTAGGACTATTATTAATCCCATTAAGGAGGGATTAAGTGACCTCCACACTGTACCCACCAAAATACGACAGAGAATCCAAGATGGGTTGCTCTGAAGTTCATATTGTCAGCCGCCTGCCAGCCCTCCAGGATGGCGCCAGACATCAATCAGAGCCACAGAGTCATTCAAGGTTGCCACCCCTTGGGGAAGACACAGTGATTTCAGGGTTTCTGGCCTGGAGAGTTGGGCTCCCATCCCGGGCTCTGCACAAAGTAGACCCTCATTAAATACACGCTGGATGAATGATGAGGCTCTATGGGTGATCAAGAGCAGGAGCAGGGAGGAGATCAGGGGAGCAATAAAGATCTCAGTGCTTTATGTGTTGAGCCAGAGACGTGCCAGTGGCATCTAAAATATGAGCCTGAAGCTGGCTCCGCTGAACTGGAAGCTGTTGGTTATAGCCCAGCTACAGGAGAGAATGGATTCCCCAAGGACAGCATAGTCTTCAGTCAAAGTTTTGGTAAATAAACAAAATGCATTGTTTTGTGTTTTCGTTTCTTTCCAGGACACAAAGGGCTGAGAACACCAGATGCCTGAGTTTTTGAAAGCTCTGCTCCAGACTAAAGAAGGACAGGGGGACCATCGTGAAATGACAGAGGCACTAGGTGGGCACGAGGTGCCTTCCTTCCCTGCTCCAGAGACAGCCCTAGGGCGGAAGGCGAGTTCCGAGAGGCCAGATCCCTCGGTGGAAGGGCAGACCTTCAGCCTGGCGTGGCAGTGCACACCTGCAATCTCAGGTACTTGGGAGGCTGAGAAAGCAGGTCACAAATTCAAGCCCAGGCTGGGCACTTAGCAAGGACCTGTCTGGAAAACTAGTAAAAAGGACTGGGGATGCACTCAGTGGTAGAGAGCTTGTCTAGCACGTGCAAGGCTCTGGGTTCAATCCCCAGTGTTGCAAAAAAAGAAAAAGAAAAGAGAAGGGTGGGGCGGCTGGGGCTGGGGCTCAGTGGAACAGCACCGGCCTCGAATGTGGGAGCACTGGATTCGTTCCTCAGCACCACATGAAAAAAGTTTTTAAAAGTTCCTAGCCTTTAGGTCAGTTGGTAGAGTGCTTGCCTCACACGCACAAAGCCCTGGGCTCAGTCACCAGCACCACCACCAAAAAAAAAAAAAAAGAAAGAGTTCATAGAGTCAGCTCCTTGTCAGGGGAACACACACAGAACCTAGCGGGGTCCTGCCCGGGGTACTGTGGTCGGAATAGGCCCCTTCTAAGATCCAGGTGTTGCCGATGTGATAGGATGGAGAGGTGGGGTCCTTAAGAAGTGGCCGGGCCATGAGGGGTTTCCCCTTGTGAATGGGATCAAGGCTCTTATGAAGAGGCCCTCAGGCAGCGTTCAGTCTCTCCATCTTCTGCCTTCCACCACGTGAAGACACGGCAACAGGGCAGCATCTCCGAAGCAGAAGCAGCCGTCCCTGGACGACTGAGCCAGAGCCTTAATCCTGAACTTCCCAGACTCCAGAACCACAAGAGATAAGTGTCTATTCTTTACAAATTACTCAGGTACGTTCGTCACAGCAGCACAGACAGACTGAGAGAGTAGAGAAACAGACCAGTGGTGCACGCCTGTCATCCCAGCAGCTCGGGAGGCTGAGGCAGGAGGATCACAAGTTCAAGGCCAGACTCAGCAAAAGGAAGGCACTAAGCAACTCAGTGAGACCCTGTCTCTAAATAAAATACAAAATAGGGCTGGGGGTGTGGCTCAGTGGCCAAATGCCTCTGAATTCAATCCAGTTACCAAAAAAAAAAAAAAAAAACTGTTCTAGAAGGTACTACCCCAGCCCTAGCCTCAAGTATGTGCTGGACCAGGGCCTGGGGTCCATCTGGAGCTGGTTTGGGGGAGGAGGAGCCATGGTCATCTAATCTCTATTAAAATAACGAGCAATTGTTGGGATGAGGAAAGTAGTGAGTATATTCTTAGCAAAAGCCCCTGACATCACCCCCCGGACATTCAATAGCCACCCACTGCCCTCGGCCGGCCTCACACAAGCAGCAGCTAGCTGGTCTTTTCTGGGGAAGGTGTTTCCAAGCACTCTACTCTGAAGACCCTCTGTCACCCACATTCAGGACAGCTCTTTCCTCCACTCTCAGGAAGCAGGTCCCCAATAGCTGAGCAGCCAGACCTACACCAGGGAATTACAAAGTTGATAGGACCTAGGACCCCTAATTAACAGACAGGAAAATCAGTCCCAAGACCAAAAAGCCAAGGAATGACAAAACTAGCTTTGGAAATGATGTTCATTTATTTATTCGTTTATTTAGGTGCTGGGGATAGAACCCAGGTCTCACGTATGCTAGGCAAGTGCCCTGCCACTGAGCCAGGCTCCAACCCAGACCAGATGTCTTGAATCCAGCCCCCTTTCATTAAAAAATGCACTACAAACATCTGCTTCTGGTCAGATGCTGAGTCCCTGGAAATGCAAAGATTAATGATCTCATCGACCCTGCAGGGGGAAGAGAAAGACACAACACAAAACTACACTGTGCCAGTGGGTGCATAGAAGGAGCGAGATCTCCCTCCCATCGGCACCCTGGGCCCAAACCTTCCCATCAGCCTCCCGCGGGAAAGGGTGCAGCCAGATGCAGAGAGAAGTGACCAAGAAAGGAGAGACAGGGGAGCTGGTGACTTCCATCACCTGGGGTGGGTGTGGGTGGGATAAGAAGCTGGGTCCTAGGGGCTAAAACTGTGGGCACGGAGGAAGCCAGCCAGTTGTGAGCACTGGACAATTGTCACAGTGACCATTCAGCTGGGCCGGCTGGCACACATGGTCAGGCCTTACTAGAAGGAGTGGGGCAGAGGTGACAGGATGGGGACAAAAGTTCCCATTTTGTGAAACCCCACTATCCATAGCTCTCAGCCCCATTAGGAGTTCAGCAGAGCAGGTGAGGTGACTGTCCTACTCCAAGTGGGGAAACTGAGGCCCAGAGAAGTTGTCACCAGCCCAAGGTCATTTCATTCAGGTTTAAGTGTCTGAGTCAGGATTCAAAGCCACTTTGTTTCTTCAAATCATGAAAAGTGACCCAAGAAGAATCATCTGCTGCCTGTGGTTGGGGATGGAGCAGATCACCATGAGCTAAGGACGGGGCGAAGGTGCCCACTAGGGGCTGTCCTGCCCGCAACATGGTCCTGCCACCAGGGCAGAGCTGAGGTCACACGGCAGCGGGCTGGATCGGGTCTGAAGGCCCAGGATAGGAGCAAGGACTCCAGGAGAATCCGAGGAAGGACCCGGCTCTGTCCTGCCCGCTCCCTGGAGCAGGAGGAGGAAGCAGCCGGGCCGACAGGACCACAGTGTGGAGTGAGCGCCAGAAATGCTCCTCTTCCCCCTCCCTGGCCGCGGTTGAACTGAGTCTGATGATGTTGCCTTTCCTCTTTGTCCTCAGTGGCATCCTTCCACAAGAGCAGGGTGACATAAAACAGCACAGACTCCCATAGATGAGGTCTCCCAGAGGCTGAGGGACCATCTGGATCCCACAGCTGGTTCTGGATGGGGAGCTGGCCTGGATCGCACGGTGGCCATCCTGTCCTATCTTGGTTCCTTAGCCCGTTCCCCCTGCCCATCCTCTGGCTCCTTTCTGGAATCTACTGCACAATGGTCTGGGTTAAGTCCACCGACTTGTCCAGTTTGGACTCCAGAAAGCTCCCTTGGGATCTGGACTCCCACCCGCAGAGCACAGCTTCAGCCCAAGCACCTAAGACTCTATAGAGGCTGAAGAGTCCAGCATCTAGAATGCCCTGGTCATCAACAGACAGGAGCCTGGCCAACGAGGCATGGAGTCAAAGCTTCTGCATTCCCTGTGGCCAGAGCAGCCCCGACACCCCGGGAGGAGCAGGTCAAGTCTTTAGGACCAGGAGGTACCTCCTCTGCATCTGTGCCACCGCTCCACCCCAAGACACTGAGAACAACAGGACCTAGGTTTGCACAGTGTGGCTGAACAACGACACATGGCTTTCTCCCCACACGCCTCAGTCCGTCCTCAGAACGGCCCAGAGAAACTGGAATAAAACCCTCACGCTCCCGAGGGACAGACCAACCCCACCAGGTCACGGAGCTGGCAGGCGGCACGCTGAGAGAAGAGGTCGTGGCAGAGACTCGACCCCAGTTTTTCGGACTCTGAGTTCTGGTCTTCATCAATCTCTCGCCTGCCGCCCAGATGTGAATCCATCTATGCTCCTCTGGCTGAAGGACCGGGAGGGTTTCCAGATTCACATCCACGTGAGAAAGAACATCTGGATACTTCTGCCTACCCGGGTCCACAGCAGAGCAGATGGGCTTGCAGGGCGGGGTGGTGGGGATCCATTATCATGACAGGTTGCCTCAGGCCCTGTTCCCTTCTCGGACTCTCCCAACCCAGGTGGACTTCCCTCGTCAGCCAAGCCAACATTTTTCTGGGTGCCAAGTCACTCCTGGGCTGCAACAAACAGGCCTGCTTGACCACATCAGACTTCTGTCTGTCTGTCTGCCAGCCTGGTGTCTGCAGGGGAAGTGTCCATACATTTAGAATGAGTACAGAGCACACAGACACCAGTCTGCCTGGCTGAGGGTTTTCATTCAGAGGCCCAAGCTCAGAAAGGACCTAGAAAAGGATCGGAAAGAAAAAGCAAGTCCTAGGGACTCTCACAGTTCAGGATGCTCAGAGAAGGTCCGGAGCAGGATGACCCCTGGTTATGAAGCCATGTGTCTGCCCCGGAGGCCCCCAGATGAAGATAACATCGCATTGTCCTAAACCCATAGGGCTGCCTCACAATGCCCTCCCCCTCCAGGGTCCAAACCAGAAGAGAAGAGCTAAGGTCCTGGACATAACGATGTGAAAGCACCCAGTAGCTCTGCGGCAGGGAGGACCCGCTCAGCCCCGACCAAGGCAAAAGGATGGGCCCCTGCAAGAGGCGGGAAGGTGGGCACCTACCTGGACTTCACGGGTGTGATAGGCGATGATCAACCCCAGCAGGATGATGGTGGATAGACTGATAAGGCATTTCAGGGCCAACGAAAACATGGAGTCCTGCAGGAGAGATGGAAAGAGAATTAGGGAGGCCAGGAAAGGCGTCTCGCTTCATTCTGAAGTGGTACAAAGGGGAGGAGGGACCATCACCAGTCCCTCCCGGGAGCAGGGTGGGCCACAAAGTTTGCCTGAGCCACCAAAGAGCCTTGGACTGTGCTTGAACCTGAAGTCTCAGCAGCCGCCCAGCTGCGCCTCTGCTTCTGAGGGTGAGACCATATTTGCCTTCCCAGATGAACTCCACTTGGGCCTGGTGCAGGATGCTTGCTATACGTGGCTGGATTCTGTTTGCTGATGTGCTATTCAGAATCTTTGCCCCCATGCTCATAAGTCCTACGAGCATAACCCTTTTTTGTGTGCTGCTGTTATCTGGCGTGGGCATCGGTATCAGGCCAGTTCGGGTCTCCGTTTTCTCTTAACAGACTGAACTAGAGGATTGCTGAAGCCCTTTCCATCTCTGATAATGCACAGTTCTTTTAGGAATGAATTAAAATGTCCTGGCAGCGGCTCCCGTCTCCTGGCTTGGGCCAAGGGCAGGGGAGGGAGGCAAGAGAAGCAGACAAACTGCCGGAGGGAGAAGTGGGGTGAGCACGGGAGCAGAGGTGGGTCCAAGGCAGGGGAAGGCCCTTGGGGGTCCCTCCTGCTAGGGCTGGGGACGGGTGGCCACATGGCCTTCACTGCACCTTTCAGCAGCAGGGTGACTAGAGAACCTGGGTCTTGGCTCGGGAGCATATTTCTTGGGCCAATCTGCTGGGTCCAAACTGTAACACAGCCACTTAAAGCTGAGTGACCTCAGGCCACTTCTACACCTCTCTGCACCCAGTGGCATCATGTATAAAATGAGCAAATATCATTTCCTACCTCACAGGGCCATTGGGGGGAAGGGGCAAGTATACGGAGAGAACCCACAACCACGCCTGGCTCGGTAAGTGCTGGCCACCATTTCTGTTTGTTGACTTTTTGTCCACAAACCAGCAGCTGGGTTAGGATTTGGTGCTCTCCTGAGCATCGGGAGTCTGGAAGGACGGTTGGCTCCAAGTCCCAAAGGAAGACAGGAACACAGCCCTGAGCAAGAGTGGCGGTAGGTCCTGGCAGCGTTTCCAAGTGCTCTAAGTCCTGAGAGGTGCATGCCACCTAGGAAGCGAACGGCCTCTGTCCTCAGGGACTAGTGACTAGACCCGGTGCAATCTCCACCACAGTTGACAAAGTGGTTTCACCTGTGCATCCTCACAATAACCTACGACCTTAATTACAGGTGGAGGCCCAGAGGGGTGAGTGACCATACGCCAGAGTTCAAAATCAGGACCTTGACCTCCGGGCACTCTCCAACAGGAAACAGGAGAAAATGTGAGAATTCTTTAAGCAGGCCTAAATAACAGCTTAAGACAACAAGGGACCAAAACATGGTCAGATAGGAGTCCTCTGTTCTGGTTCTCTGTAGCACAGCAGGGCAACCATGATTGTAGCCATCTATGACGTATTTCAAAATTAGTAGAAGAGTACAAAAGTCAGCCATAGAAATTGTAATGTTTAAGGAGAAAGAAATGCTCATTACCCTGATTTGATCAGGACACATTGAGTATTTGTGTTGATATCATACTCTACTCTGTAGACAGGTGTAGATATGTCTCTGTGGAAGGTGTTTTGAAGATAGATGTGATTCATTGCCAAGTAGGATCTATAGAATTGCTAGGAGAGGTCAAGCAAGTGCAATGTCACTGTGGGCAGGTCAGAGAAGCATTCAAAGGCGGCTGTGACAGTGGGCATGGTGGCACAGGCCATAATCCCAGTGACCAGGGAGTGTGAGGCAGGAGGATCACAAGTTAAAGGCCAGCCTGGGCAACTTAGCAAGTCCCTGTCTCAAAATAAATAATGAAAATGGTTGGGGATGTAGCTCAATCGTAGAGCACCCTGGGTTCAATCCCCAGACCCCCCCCACCACACACACACACACACATACTCGACGGAGATCTGCAGGATTAGGTAATATTGTCCCATATAGCAGCCACTGGTGTAAGAGGAGGGCTTGGGACTTGGACCTAGGACTCTCAGATGCCCACATCTGTGCTCTCAACCCATCCTCTATGGGCTGAGACAGTGAAAGAGGCTCTCACTGGTCTCTGTCAATCTTATCATTTATTTCTTAGATTGGGGGTCAAGGCCCACTTGATAGCTAGAACCAATGAAGTGACCTTCTTGCTCATCTGTTCACTCTTACAACGATCTCAGACACTTTTCATTTGTTGAGCACCGTCTACGTACCCAACAGTGTACTACACGCTGTAGAACGTGCCAGAAGTTTCTGGTCTTGCTTATATACAAACTCCAACTTTCTACCCTGCATGGTGCTGTTCCGCCGTGGAGAAAGGTCCCCAGTCTGCACCGTGCAGAAGATGGTCTAGGGCGGGGGGTGCAGCACAGAGAGAGAGCACATGCCTAGCAAGCTGGGGGCCCTCGGTTGGATCCCCAGCACAGCAAATGATAAAACATGAAAACGAAAATACAACAAAAAGATTTTCTAAACAGAATCCAGTTTTCCTTTAGTCTCTTCCGTGTTCTACAGTTTGATGAAGAGCAGCCTCCTGTCACTTCCTGAGCACATGTGTCTCAAGGGGCACAAGTGCTTTGCTGGCACAATGTGAACACAAATCAACAGAACCCAGTTCTGCCTTCGAGGAGGTTCTGATCTCTAGAAGCCCAACTTGATGCTGGAAGTACCCCCTTCCACCCCCAGATAGAGCTGGGGCTCAAGAGAGCAGGAAATGAGTTCAGAGATGCTTGGACTCTGTGACCACGAACCTCCCCGCAGGAACGGCCTGGGGAGAGCTCACGCCGGCTTCCAGCCAGAAATGGACCATCTCCTTCATCTCAAAAGGGTCTGAAAGCATCTGGGGAGCATCACGCCTACCCCGAGGAAAAGTTTGGGATCAGCTGCACATCTCCGCCTCTAATTTATTTCTGTTGGCAGAAATGAACTGGAATCAGAATCCAAGTCTATTTCCATCATTTTTAGAGGAAGAGGTGAAGGGAAAAGGGCCAGATACCGTCTCCTCTCCTTCAAGCCTCTTCCATTTGTCCTAAAACTTGAAGGCTTTCCATTAAAAGGCAAAACTCCATCTGCTTCTTAGTTTTAGCCGGTGCAGCCTCCTGGGCCAGCTCCATCTTTGCAGGGACCAAGCTGTGAAATGGATCAATGGAGATGCTTGATACTTTGCAGATTTCCTTGCATTCCCCATCACACGTCAATCAAATAAATAAATAAATAAATAAATAAGCCCTCCCCCTTTTTTCATATCGAGAAAACATGTCGAAGTAGCCTGGCTGGACCGGAAATGTTTTTTATTTGCTAAGATGTTCAATTATCATCTTTGCTGCCCGAACTCCAGTGAAGCCTAAAATTGATACGGTTCTTTGGGCGATAGTAGCAGCACAGGCCTTGCTAATTAGCTGCCATACACCACATGGTGGGGCGCCTGCCACACCTGCTGTGCCCCGACTCTCTCCTTTAAGGACTAAAAAGAGACTCCTGATTCCGGGAGGGAGTCCTGTAGCCAACTGGTCAACCTCTCTCCGCTGTGACTCAGCTCTTTTCACTGACAATGATAATCCCTCACACTCAAGGATGCATAGGAACTGGGTCCTGTTTGATGAAAGTCATAATTTAAAGCCACTTATTCCTAAAGGCCCAAGAATATTCAAGCGGTTCATTCAATCTCAGCGCAGACAGTGATGAAACACTATATAGTCACTAAAAGACACTTCTGTAGAAAATGATTGAGCCAGACGTGGTGGCACACACCTGTAATCCCAGAGGCTCAGGAGGCTGAGGCAGGAGGATTGAAAGTTCACAGCCAGCCTCGGCAACTTAGTGAGGCCCTAAGCAACTTGATGAGACCCTGTTAATAAATAAAAAATTAAAAAGGGACTGGGGATGTGACAAGTGCCCTCCGTGCCTTGAGTGACTGTCAGTAGGAGTGCCCGGGAGCCTCAGCCCATCCTAGGATGGGGATAAAGGAAGAGAGACTGCGGATTCCTGAACGCCATTTCATTTACTGGATGGCCATTCCGTGCTCTAACAGTAACTGTTCTCAACTCACAGCGGGAGATTATACGATCCTGCCAAGTGGAGCCTGGGGCCTCCTGTAGCCCTGGGGCTGAACTGAGGGTTTCATATCCACCTCAGGTGACACTGTGGCTTCACAGCATAACAACGACATTACACCGCGCAACCTCCGTAACCTATCTGATGCTCTGAGTACGAGAAGAAAGTGCTTCTTGGAAGCACTTAGCAATAGCACTTTTATTTTTACCTAACATTCATTGAGAGCTTCCAGAATAGGTCCTTTACACACTTACCTCAAATCTTCCTTCTGTGTACTAAGTTATAATGTCTTCCATTTTTCTGATGAAAAAACACAGGGTTGGAGAATTGAAATGACTTTTCCAAGGTCACAAAACTAACCCAGATTTTAGCCATAGACCAGATTTTTCTACATAACATGCTTCAGGCTGCTAGGCCCGGTGGTGCCCGCGTGACATCCCAGTAACTCTGGAGGCCGAGAAAGAAGGATGATGAGTTCGAGGCTAGCCTCAGCAACTTAGTGAGGCCTTAAGCAACTTAGCAAGACCCTGTCTCTAAAGTGAAGATATTTTATAAAGTACTGGGGATGTGGCTCAGTTGTTAAGCATCCCTGGTACCAAAAAAAAAAAAAGAAAGATGTCCTAGGTTTTTTATGAGACAATGTGTTCCTGTCATCCCAGAGGAATCTGGCTCTACCCCCGGGCAATCCAGAGGAAGTTCCTAGCAGGTCAGGAGGTCAAGCCTCGTTCCTGGGAGATGCCCCCCATCCACGTGGTCCTTGTTCTGCTCCAAACCATGAGCCAGGGCTCTACAGATCTGTGACTTCTCAACGATGACAATAATCTGTAATAAAGTAGTATGACAGGGGCCTACCATGCAAAGTGGGCATCATCCGCCCATTTTACAGAGGAAGAAACAGAGG